CAGGACAGAGCGGAGTTTAGGGCTGTTGTACATAGGGTCGCTATGAGTCGCAAGCGACTCGATGGCACATAACAACAACAACAACAACAACATCTCTTACATCTATGTTCTCCACTCAGTCCTCAATGTGCTCAAATGAGGGGAGAAACAAAGACTTCTTCACCTGTACTTCCACCTCACTGCTGAAACTTGGTTTTATAGGACAGTAATGTTTATTTATGTGATGCCAAAGTCAAACTATTCAGCTAATCAGGTCAAAGTGACATCTATGATCTATACAGTACTGATACCCATGTTGAACTCTTGAATCTATAGTCTGAATAACAAGGAAGTTAAAGAGGCTATGAGAAAATTGATAGCTAGAAAACAGTAATTTTTCTGACTTCAACTCTAGTTGCTGTCATGTGGAACTAACCCATAGCTGAACCTCCACTGGGGTTCTAAGGCTGTAAATTGTATGGGAAGTGATTGCTCATCTTTCCTTTGGTAGAAACACTATTGGATTTGAATCCTAGAGAGGAATAGCCTTTGCATTATCAGCACAACTCTCTGCAGACTACAGTTACCTTATATGAATTAAGCCAGAGATAAATCCAAAACACAATAATTTACAAAACCAGTGATTAAGGGTTTCAATTCCTCCACAACCTCATCAGCATTTGCTGTTTGCTGCTCTGTTGAATTTTGCTGTTCTTACTGAGGTAAAATGATATTTTATAGTTGTTTTGATTTGCATCTCTCTTAGAGCTAGTGATTTTGAACACTTGTTCATGTGTTTGTTTACTATCTGAATGTCTTCTTTGGTGAAGTGTCTGTTCATATCCTCTGCGCATTTTTCAGTAGGGTTGTTTATCTTGTGGCGCTTGAGTATTCTATAAATTCTAGGTATAAGTCCCTTATCAGTCACGTCATTGCCAAATACGTTTTCACACTTTGTGGCTTCCCTTTTTACTCTGATGGAAAACTTTTTGGATGTGCAAAGGGACCCATGTTTATTTCTGCTTTGTTCACAATAGCAAAGAGTTGGAAACAACTCAAGTGCCCATCAACAAACGAATGGATAGAGAAGCTGTGGTTTATTCACACAATGAAATACTATGCTCTATTAAAAATCAAAGAACTCACAAAATATTATACAAAATGGGTGCCCCTGGAGGAAATTATGCTGAGTGAAATATCTCAGTAACAAAAGGACAAATACTGCATAGAGCCATAGTTGTAAAGCAGGTCTGACATCCAGGTTGAGGGAAACCTAAGAAATGAGGGGATACATAATGTATCCTGCATTGAAACAGATGATGGAGAGAACTGCTTAAAAGGAATATAGGATTAGGTATTATTTTCATGAGAAGATACCAAAAAAAGAAATGCATAGTAAAGTGGACTGTGGACTTGGTAGGGGATTGTATCACAATGAGAGAATGTTTTTTTTTCTTTTCAAAGAGAAAAATGAACTTGGGGAGGGGTGGGCAGGGAGGAAAATATGCAACAATGAATGAATGGGGGAAAACTAAATGCAAAGAAGTTCATTATTTAAAAAAATGATATTTACTGTTCTTAAGAAAAAACACAACATGACAAAATAATAGCAAAAAAGTGTGCTGGTTTTGTGGCTTTGTATAGACCTTCTCATGATTTTTTTTGAAAATTCCAACCCAAACCCAACTAAAATGAAAATAAAAATTTATTCCCTTATAAAAGCAGTATTGAGACAGTGGAGGAGGGCACCAACAGAAATTATTTTGAAATGGAATTATAAATGGGAATAGGAGGTGCACTTCTCAGGTTTTAAGTGAATGTTCCAACATTATCTACTAACATAGTTCTGAATCCCTAAATCCAAGCAGCAAGTAAAGCGCTGGGGAAGGGATTAGGGCTCGTCTATGCTGGCATTTACAGTCTATAAAAACTGAGCTCATCTCAGAAACGTGAAATGAGCTAGTAGGGTTTCAAAGCAGGCCGCCAGCCCTCTGTGCATAAGGCATGCAGCCTTGGGGCTCCCCAGAAGGCAGCACCCGGGGTTCCACCACGGTGCACACGTGTGCGCGCACACGCCTGGGCTGAAGAGCCGCTTTTTTAACCGCCCTAATGGCTTGACCTCAACACCTGCTGCACTTCCTGAAGACAGACAGGCTCTGGAGCTCCACTTGTTCCTCGCATGCAGCTGCACTTTCTAGGAACGACCGCACACTCGCAGGGACTGGCGGGCTGCCAAGGCGGGGCGGCCCAGCCGCCTCGCCTTCGACCTGAACTTTCCCAGCGCTGTCAGGGCAGGATGCTGCTCAGAGCTGACTCAGCGGCCGCCATGGAACTCTGCCAACCACACAGCAATGCGGGGGCTGCCGGCAACTCACAGATGTTTTGTTAAACCCAAGTAATCAGCCAAGAGGTGGGTCTGGGCCGGTGGCCAGGGTGCTGCTGTCGTGGAAGCGAGATTCTCTGATCTTTGTCCTAGCTCTGCTATTACTTCCCTGGGCGATTGGAGCAAAGCCTTGGGGGTGCCAGCATCTTCCTTTTTTTTTCAGAGGTACGTCTGTATGGGCACAGGAGAGGGTGGCACTTGAGTGCATGGTGGTACAGCAGTTAAGCACTGGGCTGCTGAGAGCTGATGGTTAGAATGCACCACAGGACTGCAGCCTAGGAAACGCCACGAGGCAGTTCTTTGCTACACTGGGCAGCAGAAGTTGGAATCCACTCAGTAACGACACACAACACCACTGCCACCTGTTTATGTACACTTTCACACGTGCTCACACGGATAATCCATACAACTTTCCTGGGAGGCACACGCCATTGTTTTTTCTTTTACAGGTGAAGATCCAGGCTCACATCAGTTAAGAGCACTGCTAAAAGGTCAAAAAGCAGAAAATGGGATTCCAAGTGGAGCATTCAAAGCCCACCTCGCCTGCTTTTGAAACTACTGTAATTGTAGCTATCATAAAATTTGGATCAACGGTTCAACTGTACATATATGTCAACTGTGCAGGGCTCCTTGGCTCAGAAACTTTCTTTTTTAAAAAAAACTAAAGTGCTAAAGACCTTTCACATATGACTTCTCAGTTTTCATGACTGAGGTCTAAACAGTAGCATGGGGCTATAAGAAGTGTGTGCTTACAGAGTTGTTGATTGCCTTCGAGTTGAACACTTGTAGTGTCCCTATGGACAAAAGGCCTGAAGAAGCCTTTCTATAACTATTGACATTTATCAAAGTGTATAGAGGTTGCAGAGGCATGTTGTTTAGGAAGTGGATGCCACTCCTGTTATTATTGGGTATTATTAAGAGGTCATTTAACCTTGGGACAAGTTTCCATAAGTCTCATTTTTGAGTGAAGAAAAACTGTATCAAAGGCTACCAAACAACAATTATAAAGTCTTGGTTGAGAACATAACATTCCCTAGGCTCCACTTTGCAGTAATTCATTAGGACCTAGAAATCTGTCTTTTTTAAAAGCTCCCTTACTATGGGGGAGCCTTGAGGACATTAAGCTAAGTAAAATATCTGTCACAAAGGAAAATACTGCATAACACCACTGCTATAAAATAGGACTGACATGGGGGGGGGGGTTGTGAAGCAAATGAGGAAAGAATGAATAGATAATAAACACTGCATTGTAAGGGAAGAACTATCTAAAAGGAATCTATGATTATGCATTGTATGTATGAGAACAATCTGGAACAAGGGGTTCAAGGGGGGAAAAATGTTCAACAAGGACTAAATAAAATTTTTTTTAAAAAGCTCCCTTCATGACTGCAATCCCAAAGGCATGCAGTTTGTGGCCACCAGCTGCTCCACAGGAGAAGGATGGGCAATCTCCTCCGCTGTGATTAACTGCTTCTGAAACCTGCCAGAGGGTCATCTACAGGTCAGTTATGATTCTACAGTGTGTGTGTGTGTGTGTGTGTGTGTGTGTGTGTGATGTTTGGAAATCACTCAAGACTGCCTTCAATAAAAATAGCTTGTGGTCTATTGTAAAGTGGGTGATATAATAGTGAACTGAAATCACGTCTAACTGGTTCTCTGATGGAAAAACAAAACACAGTTATTTCAGTGGCTGCACAACAAATCAGGGAACTCCAGTGGCCTAGTGGAAAGAAGCTACACTGCAATCCCAAAGGCACTTGGTTTGAATCCACCAGCTATTCTGTGGGAGAAGGATGGGACAAGTTCTTCCTGTGCAATTTACTGTCTTTGAAAACCCGCTGGAGGGTCAGCTATGGGTCAATTCTGACTTGATGGTACACAACAGCAACAACACAAAAAATTACTAGGTTAGCCAGAAATTTAAAAAAAAAAAAAAGGAAAAAAGCCTTAGCCAATATTCCTTCATATAATTCTATGACTGTAAAGTCATAAATGTGATCTTTACAGTCTTCTCTCCATATCATTACTGCAACTTCCATTCTTTCTTCCATTAAAAGCAAACAAAATCCTCAGAGTATACTGACATCTTTTCACACAAAACTTGGAATAATCTCTACTAGAAGTAACTTATACGTTTCACTGCTCTACTCAAAAATATAAAGGTAAAGTGAAAAAAAGGGTCACTGTCTACTCCTGTCACAGCTGTTGGTCACTGCTGTGGGGGAGAAGGCAGAGCTGGGCACACTCACTGCTCTGGCAGTCCAGTACCCACTGCTGGCCAGCCTTTAGGAAGAACAAACGACCTCTCACACCAGAAAAACTGACCTGCTTCTGTTGCTCATCCAGATTCCAGCTCGGCTGCCCAGGCACGGAGCCTGCAGGTGGGGCCTTGGAAGTATCTTTGGTATGGTCTTCTTTAGTTTTTGGTCCATGGGATGGGAGCTCTGGTCCTGGAAGGAGACTGGACATGGGTGCTGCTCTCAGGTCCTTGTGTGCTGTCTTCTGCACATGGAAATATTTTGATGCAGCCTGTTCCTCTTGCTCAACCATCTCTATATCTTCATCATCCCCGTCCTCATCTTCTAAGTCTCCCTCCTCCTCCTCAGGCTCTGAGTTCATGCTGCCTCGTTCAAACACTCGGGGAGCTGCAGTGGCTGGTGGGACTCTGGCTAAAGAACCCAAGGCAGGGCTGGCAGAAGGCCTTCCGGGTGTGGCAGAGAGGAGAGTTGGCTGGGTGACCAACTTCTGGGCATATAAGAACTGGGTATCTCTCATCTGTTGTCCCTGCTTCTCCCGCGCATCCATCTGCAAAGAAGCCAGGTTCAGTTGCTTTTGCTGCTGTTGTTGCTGTTGCTTCTGCTGCAGTGGCTCCATTGCTGCCTTCAGCTTCACCCAGTGACAGGCATGGTGACGAACCTGGGCACAGCCCAGCAGGCACACTGGGTCAACAGAAAGCACCAGAGAGGAAAAAACAAAAACTGTAAAACAGGTATTAAAAGGATTTATTTTTGCCAGTAAAGGGCCACAGGTTTTGAAACCTTAGCTTATTCTCACAACACTTGTGTTTTCAGATGACCGAGTCAGGAAGCAAACCTCACCAAACCAATCAGGAGAAGGTGGGGAGAAAAGGCAGTGGAGACGATTAGGACTGAAGAAAAGTAATACAGGATGTTGCTCAGTCACAATGTCACTCAGTTTAGTCTGACTTACAGTAACTCTTTAGGACAAAGTAGAATCGCCCCATGAGGCTTCCAAGGCTGTAATCTTTACAGAAGCAGAAAGCCATACCTTTCTCCTAAAGTACAATTGATAAGTTCTATCAGCTGACTTTTCAGCAGCTGAGCACTTAACCGCTGTGCTGCTAGTGGTACAACACTGAAGGTTTAAAAAGTAAATGGGGGGGAAAAAGTAAATGCATTAAATATTCCGTCTACTAACATCTGTGCTCTGCTCGCTCTCCCTTAACATTCTCAACTTATTACTGAAAGGGCAACTCAGTTTGCATTAGAGAGGAATTGTGATTATAAAAATCACAGTAACAAACGAAGGCAGAGTGTGCCTAAAAAAAAAAAAAAGTGTGCTAATTATGTTCCTGGGCCCATCCCAGAAAGATATTACTGTCCAGACCAGACACAGCTGGTCGGTAAACACAATGACTAGTCTCACTGAAAAGCAGGAAAAAGCAAACTGCTCTGGTTTTAAACTTTTCAAATTTCCTAGTTCAAACTGCAAGCCTGTTGGGTGAGTGAACCGAGTCCTGCTAACTGGGCACTACAGCCTCAAAAAGGATCTAATTCCAACAACATGAAAGAAAGACACACAAGGAGGCAAGAGTCTCAAATTGCAATCGTCACTCAAAAACAAACAGGGGGGAATTCCTCTGGAGATTTCAAAGTTAATGAATCTGAAACAGTTATCAATATTGCTAATGCTTCTTCCTCTCATAGGTAACCAATAAATCTCCACATCCCCTTTCTTTCTGATTCACTTCTACTGTGATATTCTGTGACCAACACAAAAACAAAGAGCTTTCATGCCAAAAGCATTCTGGGGGCAGGTTTATCAGCATTCTTACCAATCAGTCTCTAAACACACACCCCTTTCACACCCTCCCCTCCTGGAGCCTCCCTCCTTCCTCCTCTCCAGGCCTCCAACTCCAACAAATCTCACGGTTGTTGTTTCCTTAGCATGAACTTATTACTATGCACAGACAAATTTTAAGTGAACAGGACTTGGAGCACAGTGTACAATTTTGTTATTACATGAAATAAGAAGCTGCAATGCACAGGTTGGGACTTGATATCTGCATTTTTCCAGAGATTTAGGACAGGGTAGGGAAAAAACCAAACACCAAAGCCCCCTAAATGTCTTTAACACCTTTAAAAACTGATGAGGATATAAAAACTGTTTGGATTCATGAATATCTCTTATAGGTTAGAGAAGCCCTTGTGGCATAGTAGGTTAAGTGTCAGGCTGCTACCTTAAAGGTTGACAGTTCGAACCCACCCGGCAGATCCCAGGAAGAAAGATAAAGCTTTCTCCTCCTATACAATTTACAGCCTCAGAAATCGATGGTGAATCGTCATGAGTCAGAACTGAGTGGATGGGGAGTGGGTTTGGTTTAGTTTTGGTCTTATGGATTGGAGAAAAACAGGTATAAATTCTGGAGAAAAAGAGTAGATATAAAGAATTCTCATTTTCTGTTTATCATAAAAGCACTGCTTTTGTCTTTTGTGTCCTGTGAAGGATCCCAATTTGCCTCTACTTTGCCTTTACTTCCTCTCCTAGCACTTTAAAGAATGATGTATTTGTGACTTTAAAAGGAAACTTTTACTGTGCCTTAGCTCTTCTTATAGCACAACAAACAATGAAACGATTTCCATCTACATTAAAATTCAATTGACAAAAGCATTTGTTTAGAAACAAGTCAGAACAACGAAAATGACACAAAGAGTAAAACGAATGATTGGTTAGCTATGTAAAGTTCCTTTATGGCCATTGCATACAGTCAGCAGCACAGTAATTTTTCAACCAAGCCCTTCCAATCACTGAACAACTTCTTGTCTGTGGCACCATCTTCTCTGTATGTCGTCCACAGCAGAGGGGGAGGTGTCTCGCAGTCTTTTATTAAGATAGAGACGACTCAGTTCTACAACTCTATACAAACGCATACACTCTTTCAATGAGCCCATCTTCCTCCAGTTCCTCAGCTATTAGCTGATCCAAATACCTTCACTCGTCTACACTTAGAGAACTTATATCTCAGAAATCTCTATAACATTTCACTGTCTCCTTCTCCCCATTTCCCCTAAAGTTCCAGACCACCAAGCTCGGACCAACGGACTGCAGCTTTATACCCGGCCTTGTCGATCACTCCTTCGACCTTTGCTGCCCGATCTCTCTGGCCCTGGCCTTCTTCAAGACCCCGTACCCACTTCTCTGGAGAACCCAGTCTCCCTCATCTCATCCCTTATATACCTCAAATTCAGCTCCATCACTTTTACCTTAGCTAAGCCCTGCAAGCCGCTGGCCTCTTCTCCAGTCGCCCTATCTACACCTATCTTTGCTCCCTCAGCTCCCGGGCCCCCTTATCCTTTTCCTTCCTTTATGTGAAAACACCCTAATGGACACAAGCCTCACGGGGCTCCTCCCAGCTCACACTTTTCCTCTGCGGCCCCTTTCTCCCTCCACACCTGCCTCCCTTCCCAAGTCTCCGTCCTCTCCACCTGCCACAGCCCTTACTCCCATTGCGTCTGCGGACTCCAGAATCTGCGCAGCTTACCTGTGCAGGGCGCTCGGAATGTCTCTGGAAACCAAGCAGCCGCTCAGCCGCGAGCAGCAGCTGCGACTCACCCTCCTCTGCAGCCTGGGGCCACAGTCGGGGCGGGGCCCGTACCGGAAGCGGCGGTGTGGGGATGGGCCGGCCAACCTGAGGCGGGGCGGGGGCGGAGCCACACTCTTTGGAGGCGGGGCCTGCGGCCGGAAGCGGCTCCAAAGAGAGGGAGGGGCGGGGCATGGCGGAAGTGACTCCTAGGGACAGCCCCTCCCAACTCAGTCTCGGGCGGAAGTTGCTTGCTGTGAGCGGACACTTCGGCCAATGGATGAACGCAGACCTTGAGGATTTCCTGTATGAATACTTCCGCGGGGAGTTGAAAAGAGGGGTTGGCCGCTACCTTCGGGCGATTTTGTGCTAGTTGTGTCTTTGTAATAGCCCGGGTAAGTAAGACAGAGCGGTGTCTGGAGCTTTTCACTGCTCAGTCTCTTGGACCACACCCTCCCTCCCCCTCCTCCCCGCCATCAGATGTCTGGGATTTCCATTTCTCGATCTTTTTCTCCGAATTTAACTTTTTGTTATATGTATGACCCCTGAGGATGCTATATCCTCTTCGAATCCCCTCAGGTGTATAGGTAGCTCCCCACCTACAGCCGGTTTCTCTCATGATGATTCCGTCCTAAATTGGTTCTCACGTAAGTAGAGTACCTCTTTTTGTTAAAGTTTTCATTATCCTTGCCAGTGCTTTGATAAATTCGATTGTTGTTAGTGAAGAAACATCTGAGAGGGAGAACACGCTATAACATTGTATGTAGTATATCTTACTAACGATAAACCCACTGCCGAGGCTGAAAATTTTCATAGCAGACTGACCATCTTTTCTGCCACTTAGCGGCTAGTTAATCCCAACCTCCGATTTTTTTTATTAGCACCCTGACAAGTTACTATGTTACAAGAGCTTCTTTACTGAGGGTAAAGTTTTATTAAACAATCAAAACCTGAATGTTACATGCCATTCTACCTAACTGCAATGAGTATGTTGTAAATCAGAGGTAACCTGTATTAACTTTCTTCCCAAATTACAAAGTGAAGGCTGTGTTCCAAATTCTGTCACACTTATCATAAAATCTGCTTTTGTAGAACGTACCCGTTTGTGCATCTCTGTAAAGATCATTAGAGTTCATCCAAGCAGCTGCGGTAACTTTTCTCCTCTGACCATCTTCCTTGATAATTTCAGAGTCATAATGGACAACCTTTCAATATCGGGGGCCTTAACTTCAGCAATTCTCCCTTCAGGCTCTCAAGACCACAGCCAAAACTTGAACATTGTTACCAGCACACTAAGTCCCCAGTTTAACAACATCTTATTCTTAAGAAAGGACTACCATAAAGCCTATTATATTAAAAAGTCAAGTTACAATGATTCATTATAATTAACTTTGGCACTCTTTTGTGACATTCATGAAAACATTGTGCCACTTCAGTAGTTCATAGGCTTGAAGAAAAAAAAAGCAGTCCATCCTTTTAAGTTGGATCACTTCGTCTAACAGTTAACACTTTATTGGGTTTGTAACTCTATTTGACCTAGTGTTCTCATTTACCCTTGTAATCATGCCTCCAAAGTGTCAATCTGATGCAAGTGCTGGCAGTGCATCAAAGAAAAGGAAAACAATCACAATTGAAAATAAAGTGATCAGAAAGAGGTGAAACACCATCAGTCATTGGGACAGCATTAGGCTAATCGGTCAACGATTGGGACAATTTTAAAGGATAAAGTGTGAATAATGGAGCATGTGAAAGGCTCTACACCAATGAAAGCTACAATTATCACTAAGCAACACAGTGGCTTAATTATTGAAATGGAAAGGCGATTGATAATTTGGTTTGATGATCGAAATCAGGGTAATATGCCTGTTAGTCTTACATTAGTGCAAGAAAAGGCTGGAAGCCTCTTCATTGGTTTGACAGCTGCTTGTACAGCAAATGAAAGTGATTGTGATGAAGAATTTGTTGCAAGTAGGGGTTGGTTTAATTGTTTCAAAGTGAGGGCAAATTTACATAATTTTAAAATATAAGGTGAAGCGGCAAGTGCAGATATCAATGTGGTGAGTGATTTTCCTGAAATGTTGAAAAAAAAATATTGAGTGAGGTTATTTGCCACACCAAATATT